CTCCGTACTCAGCATTGGGTAACTAATAAAACAGAAAAAGGCAAAGAATTCTAAAACTTGAACATTGAAACTTCAAAGAGCCTTGAGAAATGTCTTTCTAAACCCCTTCTTATCACAGACATTAACATCATTGACGATTTTTATATTTATCGGATAGTCGTTCATGGAAGGGTAAATAGTTTCTATTACCTGCAAGGGAAACCTTAGTCAGCAAAATTTATTGTGCGCTGATAGAACACCAAGACGACTACTTCAACCCGCCCAACGGCAAAACCCGCATCCAAGTTTTCTCTTCTTTCTCCAGAGCTTCACGTGATATATGTCGCTCTGTCTATTACGAACGCCATTTTACAGGGCATAATTACACTAGAAAGAGTGCGACGCGTCAGCCTCACGCGACACCAAGCTTTGGAATTGTGAGGGCTGCAAAGATACGATGCCGCCGAGATCTGGACAATCTCGTAGTGATTTGGCAGACGACGACAGTGACGCCGCGGAAGAAGTCTTGCCTCCATTTTTCAACACCACTTTCTCCACGCACCGCGTGTCCCCATTGTACGTGGGAAGACAGGAACTAACGTCATCACGGCTAGAGCAGCTGGCTCATCGCCTTCGGGATACACTAGTAGGAGATGTTGTACGAGGTATTCAAATTGGTCTCGAGTCGACAGACACGCCAGCTGGGCAAGTTGGCTCGCTTAGGTCGGTCAAGGTTCGCTGGTTTCATGCGCAGAGATTACTGGATCGTGACCTCTTCTACACGGAACAAGATGGAGGCTCTGGGCTTACTGACACAGTGATGCGTCGATGGAACCGACTACAAGAGACATACAAAAGGGGCCTCTGGATTGAAATACGACATGAGAATGCGGCTTACATCGCGCTGCTACTGCCAGGACACCCAGGTACTGTGAAGGATAGAAGATCAGGAACGCATGGCTTCACCATGCAGCCTGATGGCAACGCTCCCGCTGCGAAAATCAACCAAGATCAATTCATCCATCTGCCGCTTCTCCTACTACGGATGCCACAAGCTCTTAAAGGCGTAATTGGCGATTGGATATCAACCACATTTGACTGCCGAGTAAGCAAGCTGAACTTGGGTACACGAACGCTCGTCACAGTCTGGGAGGATTGGATCAAGACGGCAGGTTTGCCAGGAAAGGGCCCAGACTTTGCGATTTCGCTAGCATTTAACGCCCCGATAGCTAAGAAAGAGCCGTCTGGCCCGACAGAATCGGAAGATGAAAGTGACAACGATGGCATGTCTTCGGATCCCGGACTCCGTGGCATGGACATTACCATCGCGCCGCAGGATCTACGTCGTTTTTTTCGCCGCGGAGAGCAATCAGGCGAATTTTACAGAAGCAGCAGCTCGGGCCCTTGGGAGAACGATATCAGGGAACGTCGACGGCTGGCTGGTGGAAACGCAGATGACGGCTGGGGCTGGCGGGCAAGCCAGGAACCAGATGAGCATCCATTCACCGAGGCACTCGCCCGTTATCTTGACCATCACCTAGCGCTCAACATGTTCCATCCCAGTGTGCGGGTTGTGCAGATTTCATGTGGTGGGTTTATGCTTGCACAATCCCGCTTAAAGATCGTCAAAGTTGGATCTGTGTCGGACGAACTTGCGCGAGCGGCATGGGTCTTTGTCACACGACTAGGCGAACGACTTCGTGCAGACCATCTGGTTGATCTCGGCTTATGAGTGAGCGCTCCGACTTGGGAAGGTCCCAAAGGTTCCAACGGTTCTAACAATACAACAATACCAAATCTCCAGAGCGCTAGGCGGCATTACGAACTACCTGCATACATAACGCGAACGAGGTATTAACCTCGAGCCCCACCGACATCGGCGACGCTGCATGTTCGCGCATGGCTGCCCAGCAACCCCCGCAAAGCCTCGTTTGTGAGACATGCGCCAACCCATCATGCAAGTGGCTCTCCAGAAGGGTAAGGTTTGTTATCATTATCTCACGATGGTGCCTATGTACTATTTTCAAGGAGATCAGGTGGCCATTTCACCTGGTTCCGGGCACGCAGTCTACCATTCGATGGCTCTTCTCCAGCGGTCTGGACGGATGGGCCGGGATCAATTAGAGGAACTGGCGTAATTGGCGCGCAATTGTCTTTCTAGCTTATTAGTAACAGCGCTATAAAGGGAAACCTCTGACTAAAAAGTTGTCCGCTACAGGGAGAATCGAGACGGTAAACCCACTTTTGCCCGTACAAACACTTCGCGACATTCGTCAGAATCATCACCGGCATGTATCGGCATCCGGCGGGCCTTGTGAGAGGGAGGTGGTTGCGAACCCCGCCAATGGTACTGGCAGAGTTTTGGAATCTGGCACCCATTCGAGGCCCCGTATCTGATGGCTATGTTTCTGGATTTGTCACTACTTGGAAGGTTGATTCCATCTTAACTGTCTTTCCGTCGGAACCCCGTTGTAGGCGAAAACGTTGAAGTCCGAGGACCTCGCAAAGACACCCGGCATACCAGGTTGTCTATAGGTTATCAATCGTTGCTGATTCAAATATATCAAGCAGAAACGGAAAGGACCCAGCTTTTATATAACCGGACCTGTCACTCATCGTTTATTGCTGACAACAAAAATGCCTGACACAAGGTACACCGTCAAGGAGAAGTATAGCTTCTTGGATGATTACAGTGAAGGAGCTCACCCACAGCTTCTGGAGGCACTCATTACCAGCAATCATACGCAGGAAACCGGTTACGGTAACGACAGATACTCTGCTGAGGCGAAGCAAAACATTCGTGCCCATTTGGGCCGCGATGATGTTGGTGTTTTCTTTGTTCCTAGCGGTACATCGGCCAATGCCATCTCCATTGCCGCGTGCCTTCGACCGCACGAAGCTGTCATCGCTGCCAGCTCCGGTCACATTGTTACAAGAGAGACTGGAGCTGTCGAGGCGAGCGGCCACAAGATCATCAATGTTCCTCCCACGAATGGCAAGTTGACACCCGAGACCATCACCAAGGCTTTGGATGACAATTGGCACTTCCCACACATGGCCAAGCCCCGGCTGGTTTACATCTCAAACGCCACTGAAGTTGGTACAGTCTACTCCAAGGAAGAACTGACGGCAATCAAGACGCTTTGCGAACTGAAGGGACTCTTTCTGTTCATGGACGGTGCCCGCATTGGTGCCGCTCTCACCTCGACAAAGAATGATATGACTCTTGCCGATATTCTTGAGCTAACCGACATCTTCTGGATTGGGGGCACCAAGAACGGCGCACTGCTTGGCGAGGCCGTGATTGTGAAGCACCCCGGGCTGGCGCAAGATTTCGAGTTCTACATCAAGCAGCACGGGTCCCTTCTGGCCAAGAGTCGCATTATGGGCGTTGAGTTTGCAGAGCTCTTCCGAGACAATTTATACTATGAACTTGCTCGGCGGGCAAACAGCGCAGCGGCGAAGCTGTCGCGGACCATTGTCGGTGCCGGTTACGTGCTGCGTGCAGAGACGGAGACCAACCAGGTGTTTGCCATTCTCCCCACGGATCTTGTGCAGGAGCTCCAGAAGGACTTTACTTTCTACGTTTGGGAGAAGTGTGGAGAGGATTGGGCCGTGGTGCGGCTTCTCACCACCTGGGCCACGGACATTGGGCAGCTAGAGAAGTTCAATCAAACGGTATTGAGCTGGGCTCAGTAATGACGACTCCTATCCACAGCGTTGACGCCTACATTTGCAACTGATGACGGCTACAAGAGCAGGGTGACCAAAGAGAGAAAGGGGGTTTCCGCCTGATGAGACCATAATGACATTTTGCACAATAGATTAATACAATTACGCGTTTCTTTTGCATCGTCATTTTTTTTTTTTTTTTTTTTGCCCCCTTTTTCCCCCTTTTGGGAATTTTCCATTTTTTGAAAAAGGTGTGGAGAGGATTGGGCCGTGGTGCGGCTTCTCACCACCTGGGCCACGGACATTGGGCAGCTAGAGAAGTTCAATCAAACGGTATTGAGCTGGGCTCAGTAATGACGACTCCTATCCACAGCGTTGACGCCTACATTTGCAACTGATGACGGCTACAAGAGCAGGGTGACCAAAGAGAGAAAGGGGGTTTCCGCCTGATGAGACCATAATGACATTTTGCACAATAGATTAATACAATTACGCGTTTCTTTTGCATCGTCATTTTTTTTTTTTTTTTTTTTGCACCCATTTGACAATAATTATATCGCAGGGGATTGACTGGAGCTGTTGGAGTGTGGAACAACGGGTTCTAATGCAGCTTCCAAAAATACACTGCGCAATGTTTGGCTCGCTCCGCAGGTCCAAATGTCAACGCAAAAGATTCAGGCAAATGAGACTCGCATAACTCAGCCATCGGCTCTGGCAAAGCATCCCATTCGCCAGCATTCTTGTACAAGCTCATCACGGTCTTTTTGCCTGCCCATATTTGCCGTCAACCCGTGCCATCCGCTGCAGCCTGTCGATACCGCCCTCTGCAAACGGGGCAATCGAGTTCTTTGTTTATCCGCTTGCGCTGGCCGCCTGTTTAATGCTACTTTGTGTTTGCGCTGTGGCAAACCCAGCCAACGGCCGGGCCGTCCTGGAGCCTGCCGCGGAACCCTCATGCTGGGAACGTGGTCAGGCATCCTGTCCCCATTCCAGAAAAGCTCCATGCAGGCTCGGGATGACCAACACTCTCATTCCACTCATCGTCGTAGGGTCCCTGTGGGTGAGACGACAAGGAGCACAGGGGACCAATGATGGCCGACGGCCAAGACAACAGGCGGCGGTTGGGCATGGCCAAGCCGTACGGGCTTTATGACCTGTAATAGTAGATATCTGTTGATTCTCAATTTTAATCTAAAACATTTTGAATTCAACAACTACTACTATTCTCGACGGGCAGCGTCCAGCAACCGAAATGACGGCAAACCCAGCCTCCATACGAATCCGTAGCCTCGACAATTGCACAATATACTCCTCCCAGCTGCCCTCCCGGATCCTGTACGACATCAGCAATGCCCCCCTGTGACGCGGCCACCACCGTCTACGGACTCCAAAAGGTGCGGTACCGCCTGTACGACCGCGACGGCGAGGCCGAGCTGAAGTCGAGGCTCGACCACATCTACGACTTCCAAGACAAGCACTTTACTCACTTTAAGACTTCCTGTCCTCCTGTAAAGCCGCAGGGCAAAACAAGCAGGAAGAGGAGCTACAAGGAAGTCAAGCTGTCCAGCGGTCTACGTAGATGGTCGACGTGTTCTGCATAGGGGCATTTCAAAGCCGAAATACTCGTCTCAGAACGACTCAGGAAAGATGCCCACGTTCAATGGAAGAATGAAGTCGGCGTTGTGACCGCGCTTGAAAGGAGGCTGAGGAGGAACGAAGATGGGACAGTGGATGTGTTGCCGAGGCTGGATGTGATAGTGGCGCTGGAAGAGAAGGATTTGGATTTGTTGGTGAGTTGTTGGGCAGCGAGGCTGTGGAATGAGGCTGAAGGGGGTTTGAAGAAGCCTATTACGTGGGAAGACTGTAAGTGTATCCTTTGCGTTTTGGGCATTGAGGCATTGCTGATGGGTCGTGTAGTTAAGCGGATTACGAGCCAGAAGAGGCGATTCGGAAAGACACACATGTTGGGCGGCGGTGCTTTGGGACTCGCTGGTGCCTTCTGATCGTCGCGGTGAATGAGGTCGGTTCTAGGATTCAGGAGGTATAGGGGACTTGTTGATGGACGACTTGACACGATGCTGCGCAAGCTCATGAGGGTGTGTCGTTTTCATTTCCACGCATTCTAACCTTCCAATATCAATATATGCAACCATGAGTGGACGGCACTTGGACAGCACTTTTGCATAGTCGTGGCACGGCTCCAAGTTCTAACCCGTCAAATTTGCAAGCTGGAAAATGGAGGAAGGCAGGATGGGCAGCCGACAGTTTGAGGTTTTCCTCTGAGTTGCTTTTAACTCGAGTAAGTATTGTTTATACTCTTCTTCATGTTACTACTTGCTGCTACAGGGACATGAACGGGGGTAATTCTTTTTGGCTTGTGAGCTGGTAATGTAGAATTTCTTCACGCTGGGCAACGAAGGGCCTTGATATAAAGGTGTAGCACTCGGCCTATACGCTGTATCTTGGGTTTATCGTATCCAACATTGCATACAGGTTCAGCATTGAAAACCAGTAGACTGCGTGTTTCACTAACGACTAACCTCGAGCTTCAGGATAGGAGCGTCACCAATTGCGTACAGGCTCTCGACAGGACGGACTGCGTTGGCTCGGCCTTTACTCCTCTGCTCATTTGCACAAGCTGACGCAGACGAGATGGGAGGTGTCCGCTGCTTGATAACAAAGTTTCTAGAAGCATCATTTCGCGAGAAGAGAGGGGTGGAGCGTCGGAGTCGTGCCGAATATCAACTGGGGTGTCGACTGGCTCCAAGTATGGCGGCGGATGGGAAACGCAGCCCGCCGTTACCCCGTGCTGATGCATGGAGGTCAGAAGCAGGGCGTCCACCCATACCGGGCGATGATACACCGTGGCTTGTAAACAATTGCGGGCTGGTCAGCAAAGCTTTGCACCAGTCACTCGGATAGTCGGCACGTCGAATGCTGCATCACATGACGGCAAATCCGCCAGGTCACAAAACGATACAGCAATGGAGGCGTGATGGAATGAGTTGGCTGCCTAGACATCGTATCGAAAAGCCGAGGGTCTGCCGATACATTCGCAACCAGAAACCGGAAACATTTTGTGGAGGAGGTTCTGTCCTTTGTGCGATGGGATTCTGTCGACAGACGCATGGACGTGACGACTCCAAGCGTTCCGACCAGTTATGTGACTTATGTCTGTGGGGGCGAAGAGCCGGGGTATGTTGGCATGGCTAAACGTGCCAAATGCGTAAATAACAAGCCAAATTCAAGGCGCCATGTTCCTCGAGATGCCTTGGGCTGGATGAGGACTCAAGTGCTTTGAATGCACACATGCATGTGGACTCGGCACCAGGACGACGTCGGGACGTCTGGAGGCACTGGACCCTTCCAAGTTGGGAACATTCGGGAATATTGAATTTGGCAACTTGGGGTCTGACATCTGCGGGAGCTCCTTCCCCACCAACATGCCAGTTGAAGCCACAGATTTACCTGCAGATGTTCAACCGGGACCAGATAAGTCCGCATGTCTGAGCTGCATTCAATCTTTGGCCGCGTCCAGCCAACTTCAAGAGTACTCGCGTGAATTAAGAACCTCGGAGGCCTCTCATATTCTCCTCTCCGATACCCCGTCCGTATCCCGCATCCAAAGCGGGGGATCCGAGGCGGTAGCTTGCCGTTCTAACATCCCAGACTTTTGGTGCCGGTGTTGGCCATTTCCTCGATTTACGTTTTGGTATATCGAACTTTCGAGCGAGACCGCACCGAGGACCATCGCTGTGCAGCCTACCCTGATCCCTCATACCTCATACTTGGAGGGCCCCTGAAGCGTTGACTGACCTCTGCCCTAGCCGTCATAGACGTCGCGTCGATCATTGTGCGACCGGGGCAATAGCTCAATGAGCACACGGGTCACGTCGACAGTCTGCACCTCAGACGATTATTTCCGCTGCAAGTCCGGATCCTGCAAGCTCCCTCTTCCAGCTCCAGCCCTCCCTCCCACTTGTCCGTTCTGGTGTTTGGCCCTCCCGTCCCAACATCCCCCAGCTGCAGGACTCTAGCGCAATCGTTGGTGGTCACAATTGGGCTGCTGGCTTGCCAGATTCCGGGCACTAATAGTATCTGACAGACGAAAAGAAGGCTTGCTGGGACTCCGACAATAGGTTGCGACAGCAGGTGGACGGACCATATATGCACACTCGTGAGAGATTCTTGCTCCGCTGGCAGACTTAAACCTCATCACAGACTCAGTGTCTAATACATGGACGACCAAGGTTCAATTTTCCGTCCGTCCTGACTATCCCAGCCTCCTTTTGGGGCTAGATATCCCACTTGGTTTCTCGCGCCCACTCACCTCGCCTCACCTACTCACGCAGGCTACGCTCTATACCTGTCGGCGTCAGCACCGAGCCACTCCTTAGTTCTTGGCCTCGCAGCGCTTTGCTCAAGTTCGGTACTGAGAACTCCGCATCTAGTAGGTGTTTGCGACACCGCCGCTTTCCATTGATTGTGGCATTGTGACATCTGGACCCCCCCGGCTCGAGCCGTGCTATCAAACAGTTAGCTTACCATCCGATCATTTTGCTTGGCGCAGTTTTGTTGCATTACGGTGGCCCGGTTGCTTGGCACCTACCAGCTACCAGCTACATTCGAATACTGAATACGCTTTGACGATTCTACCTCTTCTGACGTCGGTCTATTTTGTGGAATTGCGAGCTTGCTTGGAAGAAGCAGAAAGAGGCAATACACTCACAGGTACGTGGGGAGTAACTTGCTATTTGATATCTTTGAATCATCGCACATAAATGCCGATCCGGCCGCCTGGTGCATTGAAGGGCCGAGGCTCATGCCAAGCCTCGGAACCCTTGCATGGCTTCAGCCATAATATACGCACTCAGTTGAGCCACGATTGACTGAAGGCTGCACTGATGAGCCGTCGTGGTAAATATCTATCCTTCAACTAGCTCAAGCTCTGTTCACGGAATACAGCTGTCCGCATGCCAATTTTGGACAACCCAGAGCCTGATTTCCAGCATTATTGCAGGACCCCTCTCACTGCAGCCCTTCCTGCTTTTACATTCGATACTCCTTGACAGCCTCGACACTAAAACTTCGTCTTTGCACAGATTACGCCCGTTGGAGATTTTCTCTACAATACGCTGAGTCTTGTTGGTTGACTGCCTGTAACTCATCTTTTCCGTGGTACCCAGTTTGCCAGTCAATAAACATATAGGCTGGTCACCCCTATTGTTACATTAACGCGACCTCGAGAATTGCGCCGCCGTACTAGTTCCTGGTTACCTCATTCCATGAAGGTCATTGTGACTGGTCCCACCGGCCGCGCTGGCCAGGAAGTTGTTAAGAAGTGCCTCGAAGATGAGCGCATCACCAAGGTTGTTATTCTTACCAGGAGAGGACTGCCTGGAGAAATCGAAAGTCACCCGAAAGCGGACGTCATAATGCATCAAGATTTCACGCAATATTCCGACTACTTGATTCGCAGAATGCAAGGTTCGGAAGCTTGCATATGGTATGTTGAACGGATGGACTCAGGAGATCAGCTCCTTTCAGAGTCTTGCGGTTCTCGTGGCATAATTTACAGTGTAGCTAACAACTCCCCCTATTATAGGGCAATTGGCGCTCGTCAAGATCAGGCAAAAACTGATAAATTCATTGAACGCAGTGTTGGGGTCGATCTACCTATTGCTTCAGCCAAAATATTGTGTGAGAAACTCGCTGATAAGACGCCCGGAGGAGTCAAGTTTCGTTTCGTTTACTGCAGCCCGAAGCATACAGAGAAGAGCAAGAAAACTTTGATGTTTGCAAATGACAAGCGAAAACTCGCAAATGACTTGGAAAAAGGAATAGCGGAAATTGTCAACGCTTACAGGGGCAAATTCGAAGCATATACTCTCCGGCCTGCCAACTTCAGAACGCCAGACACTCCCCCGTCGACATCAACGCCATCATCGAAGAAACTCGTTCCGGGGTTAGGACAAAGTGCCGCTGCGTCAATAGACCCAGAGAAAGTGGGGAAGGCTATGGTAATGATCGCGTGTGATGGATGGAAAGAGAAGGTGATTGAAAATGAAACGATTTTGAAGCTTTCGTGCTGAGGGGCCTGTTGATTTTCCAAGTTACCTGACTTGGTTCGCCGACCTATACACCTTGAAGGAGGTGTAAGACTGTACGCCTTGTTTCCGAATACTTCTGATTCCGGATGCATGCGATGCAAGCGCTTGGCGTATGAGAGGGCATATTTATTATGGCGTTACAAGATTGGATGCAAGTCAGGGATTAACGGCACTCAAACGGCTATTTAAACCAGCATCCCCGAACGCCTCATATGGATGAGCACTGTGCTAATTTTATACGCCTCACTTCTATGTTTCCAATGCCGATACCCGTCGACTTCCACGGAACCAGGGCTTTTTGCATCATCGTCACTTCCCACTCGACCTCAGCACATTCTTCTGCCTTACACTAGAGGTCGCTTCTTTCCCAGGAATAGTTGGTATTCTATGAAAAGTCTTCATCATCCTCGCTAGTGGTGCCATAACCGTTGTGGGCAGATGTAGCCTGCGATCGACACTCCCTTAACGCAGGACCGTAGAAAGCCATCATTGCCTGGATCAGATGAAATATTTCGTCTTCTTCTTTGATAGACATCATGGTACTGGACATGATTTGGACCGGCCATCACCCCCCTGGAAAATGGCGGGCGGGCGGGCGACTGGCCTTGCCCGTTTGCTGAACGCTACAGAATTCAGGAAATTCTGAGCATTCTGTGTCGCCTGACCGAGTTGTCTGGCCACAGTAATCCCATATCCCCTGTCTTCGTAATGTAAATTTGGGTAGTGTGAGATGCTAGGAACAGCGGTTGCTTTCTATTTCGATTAGGAGGCGATCTATTTGGAGACGGCTCCTTCACGCCGTCGCTTCACGCCGTCGCCTTTGACGAGGCCGCAGCCGGTGCTATTGTGGAGGGTGATGTTCTGATAAACAAGGGCATTGCTGAGAGCTAGCTTCTTCGAGGGCATTTTTTTTTTTGCCTCGTCCTTTCACAACTTTGACTAGCAAGTGGTGAGTTTATGGTTTTAACATGCACAGAGAACGAGGCTAAACTGCACTCCGTGATGGTAAAGCATGAGCACGGCGGTGCTTGCAGAAACTTTCACGAAAGGCATTAGGAGAAGCTAAAATGTGCATTTTCTTTTCGACAGCGATCCAGGCGGGAGTATGGTGTTGATGCTAGTATCATAAAGGCTCGCCGACGCGACTTACCCTTACGCCACGCATGGGCAACCTGTTTGCACTAACTTGAGTACTTTGTTTTCTGAAAGAGTATATAAATACTTGAGCTTTTTGTCGGTTATATTCTGCTTTGGTATCTGAAAAATCATCTGTTATCAAGTTCATCATACGAGAGCAACTCCAAGACGACAGTGCAACGACGCCGCCAAGAAGCAACAGCGCAAAGGCAAGAGCTGCTCTTCCACGATGGCGTTCGAAATTATCGGAAAACTGAAAAACACGTCAGAAGTCATCTTCTTGTCCATCATTCTCCTCATTGTGAGCCTCTTTGCGCTCGGCATCGTCTTGACCATACTCGGATGCATCACGTCGGTCATCATGGAGCGCATCAAGAAGCGAAGGCGCCGCACACAGAATCAAACTTTTCCTCTCCAAGAGACGACTCCGCAGATTCGTTCTGCGGGTGATGGTATCGAGGAAAATGATAATAGTAGCGATGCTGATAGCGACGACACGCCTCCACCCAGTTACGGCGTATGGCATGATGAGGAGGTGGGCATCGACGACAGGAACGGGCCGAATTTGGCGATTAGGACGCCTCCTGGTTGCTATCGCAGGCCAGGATTCTAGATCTGACGGTCGATTAACGGGGGAACTCCTTTGGGGAGGATTCAAACTTGAGGCTTTTGTGGTAAGTGTCTTTGGGCGGACAGAGGCATGAGGCGGGCTTGGGCATGGCGTTTTCACTAGCATCACTGCTGAAGTTTCTGTTAAAAGTGCATTTATGGAACAGAAAAATGTTTATTCAAGCGATTTGACCGTAATTGTGTGTCATGGCCTATTTTTGTAGGGTCTTCTCGCCTTGCTTGCTTGCTTGCTTCGGCCTGACGGCCCGAGACGAAGCGGCAGGCTTGTGTGATGCAACACACCCACCTGGTCGGACAGTATGTTTTCCTTTCAATGTCGAGACTGAAAGCCGCATGTTCGATTTTTGCTTATCTACTTTGGGAAAATGGCTCATAATACCCGCCCGATGCGCGGGACCTGGCTGAGGTTGTACCCAGCAGCCCGTCAGCAATACCCTGCAGTATGTATGCCCGGATGTTGCAGAAACAGGCCCGCAATGGTCTGATTCTCTCTCTGGGTCGGGGAAAGTTGCGCAAATACGCACCCGTTTGGGAATGGGACGAGCAGTGCCGCATCGTCGGCAGAACTCTCTCAAATTTCATCAAAAGGTGCCATTCATTGTACTCAGCCCCCGGCAAAACTTCCCCTCACCAAACCAGTCGACCTCACTGACACAACATTTAGAGTTGGGTTCCGTTCCATACGCAAAGCGACGAGGGCCCCAGCGAGGCCAACCATGCGACGCCTCTCGCACAAGGTTTCTTCGCTTCGGAGCGAGCCAGACAGCCACCAGATCGGCCGCTAGGAAAGCCTCGAAGCCTGGGGCCGCCGTCGGGTGCTAATAACTACAAGACGAGGACACCTCATTATTGGTTCTCCGTGTCCACCTGGGCCACAATGCATGCCCATCTACACCGTACGGAGTATAAATGTCAATCTGCGGTTGTGCCCGCATCCCTGCGCCCCCAGATGCAACCAGGGCCAGAATAGCGGACCGTATTTTCCACCAGTTAGGACTGATCCAGCTACAGTGGGTAGACAAAAGTCACGATAATTAGCGATTTTACACCTAAACTTACTACTTTTATTAATGAATTATTACTTAACCTTTTAATAAAAATTTATAAAAATTAAAATTATATTAAATTCTTATAATAATTATAATAATATATAATTTTTATAATTATAAATAGAGTACTTCTCTTATAATTAAAGGTTAAATATACAAGAAAA